GCCCGCTGTTCCCCCCGGTCCCTTTGCCTCCTTTGTTGCTTGGGTTCCCCGGGGAAATCTTACGGAKAGCCTGCAGTGCAGGCACGTCTGATACCACCGGTAACCAGTTAAGGTCCTTGGTGAGCTTAAATGTACGGAACTCCTGCGTGAAACTGGGGGACTCCACAGTAGTGTTACTTTCCCACTGTTCTTCTAGCCAGCCTTGTATCCGGATCTGGAAGTAGTACACCATCACCGCCGGTGCCAGCATCTCCCCGCATTTGTCCTTGAGTGCATACCAGAGCCCTAACTGGATCCGTTTCAAACAATCTAAGCCTTGTAGGTAGTTCCGGACTACTGGGTGTTCAACACCTATCAAGGTTGCAATTACGGGTAAGTACCCTTCAACTTGTAGTACTGCTTCGGTCCATTCAATCGGGATGTACCCCTTGGCCTTCCCCAGTGCGTAGGCGTCTTTGAGGTTGAGGCTGTTCCCCTCAGTGGACATTATAGTATCGTAAGCCAATGCATCATTAGCATCCTCCCTTTCCTTCTTCCTTGCAGTAGGCGATCCCCCAGGGGGTACAAAAGCCATAGGGAGGAGACCATCGCCCAACTCGCATTCGTCTACTCCGTAAAAACGGAAGGCTTGAAAGGTCTTCAGTGCTGCTGTAGGTATAAAGGGGGGAGGCAGGGAGAGCTCTCGTGCTGCCTGATCAACATAGCTCTGGAACAGTGCGTGCGGTTTCTCCCCTTTCTTCTTTAGGGTCCATCCTTGGTAGAGTGGAGGCAGTTGGTCTGGCCTTTCTACTTGGCAAAGAGTCTTAAGCCGTTGGGTATTTAGGGAGCCAAATATTTCTTCCATCAAAGGGGGCTTAGCCTCTTCCGCTCGCCGCCTTTCGTTTGCTTCATTAGCCTTTAACTGGTTATCAGTTAGCGTGGATACGGCTGCGGTTAGAGCTGCAGTTTCGGGCCCTACGGGCGAGGGAACTGAGACTAAACCAGGCAGATCCCGGTACAGAACCTTCTTGTCCATGTAGGAGGTCAGTGCAGCATCCACACGGAATAGGGGTCCGGGTCCGTTGGCCACTATTTCAACAACTGCTTCATCACCTTGTTCGCTCCGGGTGTGGGTCCCGGCTACCCGTATGGCGTCTAGCAGCGGCGTTACGTGTGCAGTTAAGCCTTCTCTCTTGATCCATGGCTGAAGGATGAGGAACGCTTCCCGTGGTGTGAGGTTCTTTCCAAGAAGCAGTGGAACTAGCTCGAAGGGAAGAAAGAAGGTGTGTCGGCACCGGATGCTCTCGGTTCCTGGAGTGGTTTCAGCCGGTGAATTGATGAAGTTGAGGCGGGGATTAGCTTGTAAACGTTGGAGATGTTGCGTTATTTCATATACTCGAATTCTCCTTGTGAGTCCAAACATGTTAGCGGTCACTTGCACTAGCTCTGCTCGCCCCGCGACCACGTCGTCGAGGAAGCCAAACGTCTTCCCTGTGTTTGGTGAAGATGGGCCAAGGAGGGTTCCAGGATACTTGCAGATACCGTGGATCACTCGTAAGCATGGTGTGGAACTGGAGTCGTTCACAAAGATCCCAATGCCCCCAACTGCTTGTGCTTCGAAGAGGTCGCGTACGTCCTCGAGCAACTGGGTTGAGCTTGGGGGGTTAGGATCCGTGCTACAGAACTTTTGGTACACCGTTCCGTAGGCGCTCTTACGGAGCTCAGCATCGGTCCCAAAGGGGCTAGACGCCTTATCTTGGAAGAGGGTCCCATACTGTTGTGGTCGGGGGTCCGCCGTACCCCCTTCGACAGTACTCATTCCAAGTGAAGTGGGTTAGGACTGGGGCAAGCGTTAAAGCTGGTCCCCAGTCCCTTTTTCATAGCTAATCGCTCTTATCTACTACTATTACTAAGTTGCTTACTGTCCCAGCAATAGTGGTCTTAGTGACCATCTCAGCTGCTGGGGTCCAGGGCGCACCTCTTGTTGCTGCTTTTAGCTGTTTAGTACTGAAACTGCTCTCAGCCACTCATCTCTTTCTTATTTGCGCGCGCGCCCGCGCACCATTTTCAGTCCAGACCTTGAGGGACTCGCTACGTCGATACCAATGAGAAAAATTTCCCCTGAGAATTTTTTTCACTTCATTTTTACTGCATACTACTACTAATACGAGTTCCCAACCTTCAAGTGGTTATACTTTATCAAAAATACTACTATTTTATTTTTTGAACATACTGTCTAGTCCAGTTTTTAATGATGATTCTGAGTATACCAATTTGTTGGGCATCAAATTGGTTGTTGTGATGTTACACCAGCACTGTTGAATAATGACTAGATTATTAGTAGAAATTACTACTGGGATTTAGTAGGAGAAATGGATGAAGGACAGACAGTTTGAAATTTTTCTAAGGACTAGACTGGTGGGACTGACTGGACAAAGGAAAGACTATTTCTACTTCAAATACAGTCCTACTATGTACTAATCTTTTACTACCACCAGCCCTTTGTTGGTGCTTCAAATTCTGAACTACAGACAACAATAACACCTGACAAACACTAACTAGTACTTGACTCTCAACTATATGAGAGATGTGCATATGAAGTTTGAAAATCAGAGAGTGATTGGAAGTGTTCCTTTACATGAGGTCAGGTGCACTTTATGCAGAGTTATGCAGTAAAAATGAGGTGGAAATAAATCTCTGGGGAAATTTTTCCTATTGGTACCGAGGATGGAATATGAGTTTTCAATGCGTTGCGCACCCCTCCTATATTTATGACCCCTGCATAAAGCAGAGTACGAGTTTAAGAGGAGCCTGTGGTCATGTACCAGCTTTTTCTGATGGATTTTCTACACATTCAGGAAGAACGGGATGATGAACACCAAACAAGCCAGCACCTCATACCGGTACGAGTACAAGTACAAGTACGTAATCGTACCTGTTGAAAAATTATTCGGGAATGAATTCATGTGAAAACTGCCAGCTCAATCAATCAAGGAAGAATAATATGAAAGCTTAGTAGAAATTGGCTACTGTGCACTGAGATGGAGATAGAGCTTGAGCTTGAGCTGGAGATAAAGCTTGAGCTTGAGCTAGAGCTAGAGCTAGATCCTCTAGGAGTACAACTATGTGAAAAAATGAATTAGCTTTAGAAAATGAAGTAGTAGTAGTTAACAGTGGTAGATCTAGTACTGAAAGTACAGCAACTACTAGTATTACTTTTTCTGATACTACTTCTGTTTTTCACAGAGTAGTAGTACTACTGATATTTCAATTGATTAGCTTATAGCTAGAGTAGCACTGGATCTAGTGTTGCTACTAGTGGTATAATAGATAAAGCTACTACAGTTAGCCATATACTATCTAACACTATAGCTAGCACAACTGTTCAAACTACAGCTACTAG